CTTCATCTTCTTCGCCTCCTCCTCCCTTCTTCCTCCTCCTTCTCCTCCTCCATCGCCTCCTCCTGCTTCGCCCACTTCCCCTCTTCCTCCTCCTCCTCTTTCTGCTTTTCTTCCTCCCGCCTCCTCCTCCTCCCCCTCCTCTTCCTCTTCCTCCTCCTCGTTTCTTCCTCCTCCTCCTGCTCTTTTTCCTTCCCTTCTCCTCCTGCTCTTTCTCCTTCTCAACATCATCATCATCATCATTATCATCATCCTCTTATTCCCTCCACTCTTTTCCCCTCCCCCCCTTCTTGCTCCTCCCCCTCGTTCTCCTCCTCCTTCTTCTCCTTCCCCCTCTTCCTCAGACTCCTCCACTCCTCGTCCTCCTCGCTCCTCCTTCTCCTCACCTTCCCCTCCATGAAATCGCGCTCTCGTGCGCGCGCGGAGTGCGAAATTGCCGCGTTTGCATGCCATTGATGAATATCGCATGGAAGCTCTACGAGTTCCGGGCGGTAGCCAAGGTTGACGGTTTACCGCCGGCTCCCAGTTTTGGTCGGTGAAAGATGAGTTTCTCAAAATTTGACAATTCGTTCGCGTTCGGGCTCGGGCTCGGGCCTGGGCTCGTTCGAGCTGGGCTTGGGCTCGGGCTCGGTCTTGGGCTGAGGCTTGGGCCTGCGCTCGGGGCTGGGCTCGAACCTGGGCTCGGGCTCGGGCTCGGGCTGCGGCTAGGACTCGCGCTCGCGGCAACTTCTGCGCGTTGCGGAGGTCGGCGCCGACAGTTTTGGGCGCGAGGATCATGGGTGTCAGGCGACATATTGACGCACCCCGTTGTTGCATGCACTGCCGCTTGTTAGGATAGTATGTCGGTCATCTCAATGTGTGCATACATACCTCCACGTGGGCATCCCTCTTGCGCGGCAGATCTCGTCATGGCACAGGGGCTCTACGAGGTCCCTGGCCGTGGCCAGGTTGACGGTTTACCCCCGGCGCCAGTTCTGTGTCGTTTGAAAATTCATTCTCGGAATTCAACCGTTCGTTACAGTTCTAACATGTTCCCCCCATCTTTGATGTTACTCCCGCTCGCCATCTTGGTCTCAAGTCGATCGGGTGGATATTTCTGCCCAAAAGCATCCGGGCGGGATCGGGTGTTAAGTGTCATCTCGGCAGGTAGTGACAGTTCTCTGTACTTAACTCGAGCTGTAGATCAGCTGCAGAGCTGTTCGGCACAGCAATCAAAAGGAAAACATCAGAAGCGCTAGTCTAGAGTATCTAGATGCCTGAGACTGGTCGGCTATTAGAGCTGGGATTTTAAAACTCTGTACTCTGCGCTTTTTCTGAGAGGCAATGTTCGTTCTCTCTCCTTGAAACAAATTGTAGGCGAGCAACGGGGCTGAGAAGCACGCCGTTCAACAGGAAATGATGTGAAACATTTGCCTACGGTATCGAGGCGTCTGAGATCGGTCAACTACCAGAGCTGCGACCCGAAAACGTTTCAGACTGCAATTTTTCTGAGAGATGATGTGTGTTTTCTTTACTTTAGTCGAGCTGTAGGCTAGCTACGGAGCTGGGATGCACACCAATCGACAGGGAATGCCTGGGAGTGCCAGTCTGAAGTATGTAGACGCCTGAGATTTGTCTGCTACCAGAGCTGCGAGCACACGACTGTTTGCACTCTACAATTTTAGGAGAGGCGTTTTCTCTAGTCAATTCGAGCTGTAGGCAAGCTACGGAGCTAGGCGCACCATTCAACAGGAAATGATAAGGAATACTCGCCTACAGTATCGACACGTCTGAGATGGGTCTGCTACCAGAGCTCCGACTGTAGCACTATTGGGACCCTTCATTTTTTGGAAGAGACGATGTTTGCTTTCTTCATTTGAGATATACACCAATCGACAGAAAATGCTACAAAGCGCTAGTCGCGGAGCCGGGAAGCGCACCCTTCGAATGGAAAGGATCACGGGCGCTAGTCTGGAGTATCGAGACGTCTGAGATCGGTCTGCTACCAGAGTTGCGACCCAAAAATAATTTATGCTGTTTCTTGCGTGGCTGTTTGTTTCAACTGAACTCGAGCTGCGGGCAAGCTAAGGAGCTGTCAAGCATATTTTATGAAACTGCACACCCTCGCGCGCTCAGAATGCGAGCTTGCCGCGCTCGCATGCTTCAAATATTTGGCAAGGAAGCTCCACGAGCCCCCCGCGGTAACCAAGGTTGACGGTTTACCGCCGGCTTCCAGTATTGATTTACTGTGAGGGCTTAATGCGCAGCTATTACATTTTCAGAGGAACAGGTGGCCGATGTGCGAACGTGGCTGTGTTTCGCTTGCACTTTATATTCGCGAGAAGCACAAATTTGTCAAGATAATCTAGTTGAGTTGCTTATCTAGTTGCGGTGGATGCACCTGTTCTTGATCCTTTGGTGCGCTCTCCGAAAGTAGTGTTTTTTTTTGGTGTGTTTGTTGTTGTTGTAGTTTTTGGGTTCGCTGAAAGGGCTCCCTACGGCTACGATTCCTTACGGCTATGGTCCCCGACGGCTACAGTTCCTTCCGAACAGCTGACTTGACTCATTGTTCGAATTTCGGAGAATGATCAGATCCGTGGTAACTTCCTACGGCTACGATTCCGCGCGGCTACGGCTCCCGACAGCTACAGTTCCAAACAGCTGAAGATTCTCCTTTTTCGAATTTTGAAGGAATACCATATTCGGAGAGAACTCATTGTTTTCATTGTTTTCGAGCTGAACTTCGCCAAGATTTGGCGACGTCTCTCTACGGCTACGTTTTCGTGCCGCTGGGGCTTCTACTGCAGCTCTCCACCGTTGCGGCTTCGGCTTCCTGCGGCTAGGACACCCCAAGGCTCCCGGCTCCCTGCGTCTGCGGCTCCCGGCGCCTTTGGCTACCTGGGGCTTCGCCTGCGGCTCCCTGCGGCTACAGCTCGCTACGGCTGCGGCTCCATCTACCAATAGCTACGGCTCCCGGGGTTACGCCTGCGGCTCCCTACGGCTCGGCCCGCTGCCGCTACGGCTCCCTACGGCTACGGCTCCCTACGGCTACAGCTCTCTGCGGCTACGGCTCTGGGCTCCCCACGGCTACGGCTCCCTACGGCTACGGCTTCCTACGGCTTCCTACGGCTATGGCACCTGCGACGATGGCTTCCTACGGCTACGGCTTCCTACGGCTACGGCTCCCTGCGGGCTCATCGCGAGCCCGGGCCCGACCCGTGCCGGAGCTGGAGCTCGAGCCGGAGCCCGGGTTTGAGCTGGGGCCCAGTTCCGAGTCCAAGCCTGATCTGAGCGAGAATCGGAGGCCGAGTTCGAGCGCCAGCCCGAGCCCGCCCGTGTGCTGGCCGAAGCCCGAGTCCGAGTCCAAGCAGGCCGAGACTACTTTGACTTTCCACAGCGGTTTCCAAAGTGATTTTGAAAGTCAAAGCCAAAGTCGCCCTCCTCGACTTTCATGTTGACTTTGAAAGTTGGTTTCAAAGTGATTTTGAAAGTCCAAGTCAAAGTCGCCCTTCTCGACCTTCACTTGGAGCTTCGTGTGCCCCCCCCCGGATCGAACTTTCGATCGACTCTGACTTTCGACTTTCGTCGCTTTCGAAGTCTCGTTGAGAGTGGAAGTTCTGAAAGTCTTCGCGCCCTTCCATATCCAAGGTGAACCGGTAGTGGCGACGGGGAGAACAGGCGCAGCTGGGTGCAGGAGCAGGGCGCGAGGGAACAGCTCGGGGCGCCCCCCGCTGTCCCTTCGCGCCCCCTTTGGTGCCCCCTTCGCCCCCCCCCCCGTTTCCCCTTGCTGCCCCTTCGCGTCGCCTGCTGTCCCCTTGCCGCCTCTCTGCGTCGCAGCGTGGCCGAGCGGGGGCCTCATCAGGTTGCTCAGCGGGGCGGTGCGCTCGGCCACCGCGCCGCGCCGTCCCCGAGGGCGCTCCGCTCCGCAGAGCGCGCGCGCGGTGCTCGACCCGCGCGCCGCAGCAGCTCGCCGCGAGCGCGCGGTCTGTTCAGGAGGGGAAAAAACACACAGACACAATTAATCGTCGATTCCGAAGAAAATATGGGAACATATGGGAGAATATTTGTGGATATTTATTTGTGTGTCCCAGGGCCCCTTCATCTGTTCGGGTCCTACCCGCCCCCCCCGCGAAACTTTTTCTTTTGAGTCGCGTCGCCCCGAGCAACATCGCGCTCGCTCCGCCCGTCGCGCGCCGCGGTGGAGCCCGCCACCGCGTGTTGGAGGGCCTCTGGTCGAACGCCAGGCGGAGCGTCACCTCCAGCTCCTCGTTGATCAGCTCGGCCTTCTTCGCTGCGCAGAACAGCCCGACCTCGTCTACCGTCTCGGTTGTACGACGCAGCATCCCCGCCAGGGCCATCCTTCGTGATAGCTGCAGCATTTCTTTCTTCTTTCGAAAGTGAGGGTCCACGTAGTTGCGCACCTCGCAAACCAGCACGCAAGAGTCGCCATCTTTCAGCATTTCCCCCCGAAGCTTCTCCAACTTCTGTGCTACCCGAGGCGACGGGGACCTTGGGGTCACAGGTCTTGTCCTCGGGGGAGGTAGAGTGACCCGAACCCATTGGGCAGGGGGCGCCTCGCCCCTGTCTGGCAGCCGCGCAATCTTGCCAGCGCCCGCCGAGAGGTCGCCGTCTAGGTTGTCCGGCATAGCCCCCTGCCCCCAGCACTCGGCCAGCTCCAGAAGGCTGTCGTCCAAGCTCCCGCGGTAGAGTTGACGCAGCGCCAAGAGAGAGTGGTTGGCTCGCCTAAGATGAGAGTCTCCACCTCCTCCTCCTATCGCGACGGTGCCCGACGAGACGTCGGGCTCGGGCGCTCCGGACGCGAGAACAGTGCCACCTCGGACAGGACGTCGCGCTCCCGAGACATGGAAAACCCAATTCGTCGCGCTATACCTCACGCGGCAACTGACGGAGATGGCGCCCGTCAGCTGCAGGAGAACAAATAGAGGCAGCAGAGGGCGCCGAAGCAGGGCACGAACGCTGTGCCAGCTGCAGGGGCCAGCCAGCGCGAAGCTGAGCGACCCCACCATCCGCCGTCTTCCCAGAGGAGTAGATCTCCGACAGCACCTCCCCGGAGATCCGCTGCCGATGCCCCTCGGGCATGCGACTGTTCCACTCCTCGGCGGGGATCTCCTGATACTCCTCCAACTGCTCCATGAAAACCTGCTGCGGCAGCTGGGCCTCGAACCGCATCCGCTTGATGGCCAGCTCCACCGCCTCTGGCATACTGGGTGCCGCTCCCTTCTCCGTTCTCCGGCGTCTCCATCGAGATCGGCGCGGACGTCTTGGTCGGCAAGCCCGCGGTCGCCGCGCCCGACGACCCAGCGCCCGACCCCTCGATCGCAGCCACCCGCTCTCCGACACGCCCCTCGGCCGGAGAATCCCCCTTCAAGCGGGCCTCGAACCTGTCCAGGCGGGCGATCGTGCCCTCGATCACCTGACGATTGTTCTCGACCGCAGAATGACAGAGGACTCCAGCACGCCTCGACGCAACTCCCTGGTCCGCTCCGCCGTCCTCATCTCGCTGATCTTCTCCATCATGGCCTTCTGGGACTCCGCAAGGTCGCTCAGCTGGGAGGCCAACGCCGCCGAGTCCACGCCAGGAGGCTGCAAGGGCGGCGGCGCTGGCGGGTGCCTGGGCGACGCGTGACCGACGGACGCGTCCACGCTAGAGGCCGACGATGATCCGATCGAAGACTCTCCTGGCTCCGCGTGGTCGGACCACTCGTGCGCCGCCCAGCCCGTGAGGAGCACCATCGCTACGATCATGGCCAGCCTCCGCTGCAGTGGCATGAGCTTCTAAGCCCACTCGTTCCACTCCGCGAGGTAGCTCAGCCACTCCTGCGCGACGTCCGAGCTCTCGACGAAGGCATCCTTCGCCGCGACCAGGTACCGCACGAGCGCCACCCACACCTCCTGCATGTACTCGATCACCCGGAGAAGTGCCAGCGCCTCGTGCAACGCGCACAAGGCGGCCAGCGCACCCTGGATTCGCCTCGGACTCCTCAAAGACCACCTCAAAGTCTTGAGAGAAGACGCCCCTGAGATGAACAGAGCGTACAGCACATGCCGCGATCGCCTGCTGACCAGCACGACCCCGACGGTAGAATTGGAGCGTCAGAACCGTTCCCGCACGCAAGCCTTCCGTCGCCTGCTGGAGGTAGGCGTCGCGCTGGGACGCACTCGAGGGTGGCATTGGCCTCCAGCGAATCCCTGCCTCTGGGTCCGCGAAGGTGGAAGTCTTCGCGGTGATGCAGAACAGCCCGAGTCCGAGGTCTGGGGTGAGCACCGCCCAGATGTTGCCGCTCGTGCGCCTCACCAACTGCACCTCGACTCCATCGGTCGTCGTCTGGCGGTGCTCGGTAGAACCTGCGCGACCGTGGCTCCACTGGCATCTGAGCCTCGATCACGTCCAACTCCTCGTCAACCTCCTGATGCACGACTGGGTCGCTCACCAAAGCGAAGAGCGACCGCGTCAGCAGCCCGAGCGAGCTGCGGCCGAGACGCGCCGTCTCGCGGGCGCTCTCCGGAGCGCAGCCCCGCAGGTCGAGCGCCTGGCCCTCGAAGCAGGAGCCGCGCTCGATCAGCTCCCGCGAGGAGCCAGTCGAGCAGCTCGAATGGCCCGCGCTGCTGCCGCGCGGGGAACCGATGAAGAAGACTTCGGGCTCGGTCGCGGGCCTCCCCGCGAGCGTGCCCGAGCCAAAGACCGTGGGCGGGGAACACACATATAACGCGTTATCTTTAGGACGGCCCCACCTCGCTGTGCACCGCCCCCGCCCCTCCCCACCCCGCCGACCGATAGGGAGGCGGGGGGGGGGGTGAGAGGGCCAGGGCCCGAAAAAGTTATTGCATCCTACAAAACACGTTCAGCCTCGTCATCCCCGTGGGGCTGCGATCTGCCAACTCGTCGCCACTTTCGGGGCTGCTGGGTGGTCAAGTGGGG